CTTTATTTTAGAGAATATTAAATACCTAAACAAGTCATGTTAGTATTAGGCACATTCAGTAATTAGATACAGTTATTATGCAGTAACATTATAAAAGATAAAATGTGCAGTCACGAGAAGAAGCAGTGTGAAAGAAATCACAGCAAATATCCGAAACAAGGATGCTTAGCCAAGAATGCTGATACTTTTTCCCACCTAGGCTTCAGATGGGCCAATATTAGCTTGGCATTCCTGTCCCAAACTGGTGACAACAGGTACACAGATCAGTTTCTCATATATCCTGTGTGCAAAATGGACACACTTTCCTTTGGCAACTTGTGACAATATTTGTCATACCTTTAAACCACTTTAGGGTATTCTCCATTTCACATTTTCTCTACTAGATTTTTTTTAAGTGATGTTTGCAAGAGTTAAACATCTCTCTTTATCTATGATAATTTGGGGGAAGACATGGAATGAGACAGTTTTGGCAGAAACTTTTTAGGGAAAGTTTAGGGGGAAAAACCTATATCCAGGCATATGTAGGAGGGAGCCAAGTTCAGCTTGTTCATACTGTTGTTAAAATTTGGAGATGCATCAAACTAGGATTATATTAAACTTCATGCTGAAAATTTCCTTTTCATTTTCTAAGTATTATAGGGTTTTTTCTAAGTATTATAGGGTTTTTTCTAAGTGTTATGTTTATATTATGTTTTTTGCTAAGTATTATAGTTCTCTGAATCTTGGGCTGTCTTCGGTCTTCAAAGGTTTGGTTTTTTATCCGGTAACAGACTTTTATTTCTTTAAGTATTTGTCTCAAACTTTGTTTGGTTTTACTGCTTGTAGAAATGTCAAGGCAGTGAGATTGTGCTGATTGTTTTTTCTTTGTTTCTAATTGTTAGATCAGAACATTTGTAACTTCTACTATAGCAGTCAAGTTCTGTAGACTTCTACATGGGGTTTAGATAAAGTTAACAAAATTTTATGTTTTTTCTGCTCAGTTTTAATCGTTTGGATTTGCCACCATATAAAAGCTATGAACAACTAAAAGAGAAGTTGCTTTTTGCCATTGAAGAAACAGAGGGATTTGGTCAAGAGTAGAAGCAGCTTCTAGTCAAAATGGATATCTTGCATAATAAAAGGCCCAGCCAACTAAAATTGCACACTTAATTGTATATAAGCTTTTTGTTCTGTACAGTGATCTTTCTGGAACTCTAAAAGTTTAATTGTTCTCCGTTCTTCCACAAATATATGCAAAACAGTTCAGCCTTTTCTACTTTTATTTATTGCCCTCCCAAAAGACCAGAAAAACCCCTCCATAAATTTTGAAAGCAGACAAGAGACTTATTTAAAATATATATATAAAAAATATAAATATATATACTAATGGGCTCTAGTTTTATAGAGCTGTAAGGATATGAAAAGTTGCAGCCATTTAAAAGGGCCTGGATTTGCTTTATCTTGGCTTTATCATTCAGAAAAATGTTTAAACTGCTCTGTGTTCTCTTAAGAAACATCTCCAAGTTTGTTTTATTGCATGGCTATTCTAAAAGGTGTTAAAGGCTTAGGCCAAACGTATCCTAAATATATAGAAAGATGCTGCTGGTATTTGAGATGACAGAATCTGTTCTTCTGTCAGTTTAATTTTTTTAATACCTAAATAGCTGATATATCCCTCTCTACTGATGTAGCCAAGGTCATGAATAAAGCCTTTACTACTTGCACAAGAGTCATGTACAATAAGATGAATGTGATTTAATGTTGAAAGAAGTTGGTGCCACTGTTCTGACTTATTGGAGGAGCTGAACAGAGTATTTTAATTCATTTGAGCAGCATTGAAATTTGTTTACATAGTACCTTGGGTTATTACCATGAGGATGTTAGGTAATCTTCAAAGAAAAAATAATAAAATAGAAAATATTACCCATTCTCTTCCTGGTCTGGTGTCTTGCAGGTTTCTTTTTTCTTTTTTTTTTTTCCTGTTTTGGTTTCCCTTTTCAATCCATGATGTCCTTTTTGTAACTGTAGAGTTATATTAATGTAAACTGAGCTATAAGGGTATACAAAAGGTATACAAAAGGTAATGTGAATTTTGCTGCTTTCTGTGTTCATGTTCAGTTTCAGTTATTGGATCTAGTAAACCCAAATAAAATGAAAGTTACTTAAGCTTTGCACAGATAAAAATATTATTTAGTATTAAATTCTCTCATTCCTCTAAAGTTCTTACAGAAATTTAGACGTACTTGAATTAAGTATGTCTAAAACCTGTCATTCTTTTAGGTAGGTCGAGATTATCCTAAGTCCACAGTAACATAAAAGCATTTTAAAATTAGTTGTATTGGCAGGGAGGGCATTTGCTGAACTGCAAGGATGTGTTTAAAAAATATTAAAATTTAACACCTTATTCATGTGATTTATATTAAATGCTACTTTTAGCAAACCGTGCTTCCTTATTATAGAGTAAAAACATGTTTGAAATCACCATTTGTATTATGCTTTAAATATTAACTGTAAATTCCATTACATTTAAATTATACAGAATTTTGTATACACATGAAAATGATTTTAGAATATGATTAAACACATTTGTGTAACATATCATACTGCACTGTTAAAAGTGTACATGCGAAAAAATAGCTGTATCTGTTCACGTATCTTTCCAATACAGCAACTGAATTCTGCCAAAATTTTATTTTTCTACATATTGGATTGTCTCGAGGCTTTGTTTTCAATATGCACATCCTAAAGTGGAGCTGTTAATCTGTGCATAGCTCTGGTCATACTGGTAGTGCAATGACCCCAACAGACTGCCTATTTACATGAACTTTTCTGTAAGAGCTTCAAGAATTTCAACCACCTTGAGGGTTTTTCATACAACACCAAATATCCTCTACGAAACCACTTTCATGTAGCACTACATCAGTTTCAAGTGCAAGTCCACCTTAATTATTACTTACACTTGTTAGAATAGAGGAAGTTTAAAAAAAAAGTCCAAGACCAGAAGTGTGTGTGACTTGCCTAAAAGACAATGAGGAAAGCTAAATGTCACAGTTAAATTTTATGAATCTGCACTAATGAATGACTTAATGGCCCTCTACCAACTGCTGAATTTTGTGAATCTCTGAGTAACTGAACAAAATAATAATAAAGACAGCACATCACAAGAATGTAGTTGGTTTATTGTTTTGATAACTTTAGCTGTCTCATAACTGCAGTAGTTTTTCCTGTGGGTAAGGGTTAGTAAGCAAGAAAAAAACAAACCCAGTAGCCTTCTGTACATGTATATGATCTGTGAATTGGTGCCAAGGGACTGACTGAAAGCATGGCTCTGGAGGAAAAAAAGCACAACACTTAATATACTCATGTGCATATGTGTACAGGTAACTTAAACTTTCAGGGAATTTCAGTAATACTACACTGTAATATTTTCTTTTCCCATTTGAATTCCCCATCATTCACCTCTACTTGGGGGGAGTGAGTAAGACTGAAGAGAGGGAGGACAGCAAAGGCTGGAGCTCGGACAAGGGAACCATTGAGGTACCACTACTTGAAGGAGCTACTGTGTAGTTCATGGGTTTTGTTGGTTCCTTTCTTCCTGCAACTCAGCTGGTTTTCACTACACACTCAACAGTTGTTATTCAGTACCTGGATATCCTTCCTCTTTGTGCAGCAGCAGAAAAGGCACCTAAGTAAGGTGCTTGTGCCACAAAGCTACTGGAGGCAAATCTGTGTATGGCAAATGTTTTTGTAGTACATGAATGCAGAATGTTCTCCTAAACACCATATCATCCACCCTGAGACGCTGCCACACTGAAGACTTCATTTTGATGCTCTACTAATAGAAAATATTAGAAATATTTATAATATTTATAATAGAAAATAGTAATAGAAAATTACTTTAAATTACTTAATTACTTTAGTGGACAAACCCCCTGTTGTAACTAGTTTCATAATCTGAGGCTAGAATTAAAGCCTCAGTTCTCTCTCAGCTGTTAATTTTTACTACTGACTTAGATCTGGCTTGGTTTGTTAGTCTTAGCAACTATGCTGTTCTTCATATTCCTCCTACAGATTTTCTAGTAAAGCAAACATTAGGTATTTATAGTCAATTTGATCTAGATTGTTCTACTGACAATACTACATGTAATTGATTGCCTACCATATTTTCATTATTTGGTCCTCTTTTTCTCTTGGGTAATCCAAATACACTGTCTGGAAAGTCTGTAAATGTTTTCTATGCTGGATATGTAACTTAGGTTACTTTATATTGCTGGTGAAAATTCCTGCTAAAATGGTAGCAAGACCAAGTAGAAAACTTTATCTTTACAGACAGAAGTCCATATGCTTCCACATAGACATTCCTTTCTAATGTATTGGGAGTGTGTATTCCTCCTGTTGTCAGTCTAGGGGAAATTGTGTGTACCCAGCAAACATTTACAGCCACAAAATCATCAGAATTCACAGCCTTTAAATAGAAAAGTAAGTAGTCATATTTCACAGATCACTGCTGCTATCACCCATAAATTTTCTTTGATGTTCCCTACTTGTGGGGGTTTTTTTGTTTGGTTTTTTGTTAGTTTGTTTTTTGTTTTACCACAGCACTTTTTGCAAACACTAGCATTTAAGAGTATTGGAATTAAGATGGTGCAGGCTTAAAGAGAAATCTTTAAGAGCAGGTAATAATGTGAACACCTATTACTCTTGAAGACCACTGAACCCCACAGCAAAAGGCTCTAGAAAAAACTGCAGAATTAAAATTGTCATGGCCCTGTCCCTCCTTTTTTAAACTTATGCTAATCATGTTTCTTATTATTCCTCATACACAACTTGTAGTTTAAGAGTGTAAAAAACTTAATTAAAAACCTGTGCAACCTCTCTCCCAGCCTTTTCCCTCTAATATATCCTATATATATTCCTAGGTTGTCCATAAAGCCCTTCATTCCCATACAAATCAGCAGAGACGATCACATAATGAAATATCTTCTAGTTGACACCGTAATTGAAATGATATGGAGATAGAAGGTCAGGGCTGTACTTTTATTAACAGCTTCAATAAACCAAAGTAGTATTTGGGGCCTTTTTCCTGTGCTGCTCAAATCTGAGGCACTGAATTCCCATTATCTTGTTTCTTCTTATATAGAATTAAGCAGCTCCAAAGCTTCTTTCTGTACCTGAAAGAAATAAATGGTAACAAAAGAGTGCCAAGTAGTTATAGGCTCTTGTAGCAAAGTTTGCCACACAAGCACCCAAACACTTCACCACAGTTCTGTATATTCAGAATCCTCCTAAGACTAGTCATTTTTCATCTGTAGTTCAAGGTGCTCAATACTTGAAACATGAATAAGAATAAAACCACTTAAGCCAGTGTCTTCAGTGTAATTCATTCTACATATAGTAAGTTTATTTGTGTTGGATACAGGTGATTAGCTCTTTATTTGCTGTAGTCCAATAGTAGCAATGTAGGGAGTTGTCCTACCTCTGACCATACTCAACCAACCCAGAGTTTTCAAGATTCTGGACAGCAGGTAAGAGAGTGTGAGAAGACAGTTTCTGAGGTTCCCTTTGCCTAGAGCTTCTGGGTAAAATCTAATACGATTTTAATATGACCTCTAACATTTATATTAACGCCCCCTCAACCCAAAAAAATCCCAAAAATCCCAGCACCACCCCCCCACCCCCCAAACAGCCCCTCCAACTCAACAAACTTCTCCTGACAGAGCAAGCAGTGTAGACAACATAAGCCAGATACCTCTATCTGTAGTAACAAATGTTCAGAAAACCTAGTTATGCTGAGACAAGAATTCAAATTTCTTTGCACAGGCCACTTTCCTTCATACTGGACTACCGAGTCTAGCTCCCAATAAATTTTGCACTTTACACATTCACCCAGAGAACGGAGAGAATACCACCTCTCTCAGTTCAGCAGCTCTGCACCCCTTAGGAGATCAGGAAATGGATGTTTGTACCAGGAGGCCACGACTGGCTGCAGCAGATAAGTGGTTTAACAACTTGGCTACTGCACAGAATTCACTCCTGACTATTCCTTTTCTGTGGTTCTTAAAAAAAGGCAAGCTTTTGGAATCACTGGTTTCACATGTGCCTCTAGCTACTAGTAACTGTCAAAAGAATTGACCTGAGACCACTACTACTTTAGGCTATTAAATTCCTATACATTTTACAAGGCAGTGGAGGAACGTAATACTCCTATTTCTACTGAAAGGTGTTATTAAAGGAGCTCACTTTTGGAAGAAACAGTTTGAGCCTTACCAGCAAATCTACAGAGGGATTTTGTAACACTACCTCAGTAGTGTTTTTTTCTGAGGTGTGAAATGCAAAATCCTACCAAAGTATTTCTAACAATTAGGATATTAGAATGTCACAACCCATATGGATGATTTCTGTAACAGTTAAAGCATCTCATGCTGTAGCTTAATGCTTAACAAATTAGAGGTCAATAGACCATAAGAAAAAACAATGAGTTTGTACTCTGTATATGTTTAGGTAGGAAGTAGATGCCTACCCATCCAAACCAGGATCCTTCTGAGCAGTTCCAAAGGGTAATTAAGTGCCTGATGCCACCTTGCACTGCAGGTTTGCTGTCAAAGATACACTACCTCCATTTGTGTCAATTCAGACCATCTGAATCTCTCCCTAAGGGCTTGGAATGGACTGCAGTATTAAGTTTTTCACATATATGTGGGGGGTTTTTCTTCCTCATGTTTGTGTGATTTTTAGCTCTTCCAAAACGTGATTCCTACCTTTCCAGTTTTAGGCATACGAAAAGTCAATCTGCTCACAGAGACAGAGGCTAGCCCGGGTGCCTGCCTGAACTTCAGCAACACAGCTAAGGCTGGGTTGTTGTAAGGACTACAAAAACATCGTGGAGAAGGAAATTTAACAGTTCTCTACAATAAATAAACAGAATATTTCCAACCACTGTGTTCAGGGGTGATTAGCTACATACTAGAATTTTTTGGTGCTGATGTGATTCCGAATAATAGGTGCTGAACTACAATTTCATCTGAGTTAACTTTATAAAACATTTCACTGCCATGATGTCACATGTTGGTTACAATACATGATTGTACTATTACAGTTCTTAACTTCCTACCTGTTTGTCCTCTTCTGTCTGTGCAGGATACTCCTTTGCTTTGCTTAACCAGAGAAGAGCCATCTTTTTATTGTTTAACTTCAAGTATGTCTTCCCCAAAAAGAGCAAATTTTTGCTGTAGAAATTTGGATCGGCTGCATAGACAGGAGAAAAGATTTACATGAGAATGAGTAGTGTATAATCAAAGCCCTTTGATACTTATTTCAGAAAACACATATAGTCTTTTGGCTTTGGATCAGAAGAAAGCCAATGTAAAACTTTCACTTACTAGATTTTGGTCTTATATACAAGTATATTAACTAGAAGCTTGTTAGTTAATATACTAAACAAAACTAGATTCCTCACAAAGAGCAAAGCAGTGAGCTTAATGCATAACAGCTTTGTTTTGCAGATTTTGGGCTTTTTTGGACCTAGCAGGCAATGCAACCAGCTGAGCAAGTATAGGCAAAGGAAAAAAGGGAACATTTCCTAGCACATAAAGATACCAGTTTAGCTTTTGTTGCACGAAAGAAAACTTAAAATTATTTGTACCCACATTCAACATTTTTAAGCAGAGATTTAAAGCTTTTTACTAAGCAAGCTTGGCTATCAATCATTATTAAAGGCTAATCTTGCCTACAGTCCATACTTATAAATGCAGGCTTTTTCTGCTGCTGGATCTAAGATCAGGATTCAAAACATATGAAGGTGTTTTAAAGGCAAATTTTGAGACAAAGTTCAGTGTTCCAGCTCACAGCTGCCTTACGGGACACCCAGAACACAATGAGCTTTTCCTTTAAACTTCACTTGTTTAACTATGTACAAGTCTTTCATAAAACACTGTCTTTCCTTGTCTTCCTTTATCTCTCAGCTAATCAGTTTTGCTTACGACTTCACTCTTGGAGAAATAGTAGCTTCATATTTTCTTCTACATCATGTGGACAGTTTTACTGCCAGTTAGATTGGCACTCTGATCCTAATCACTTTTGAAATAATAAAAAGTGTGCTTTTTCTGTTGTTCTATTTAGAATACAGAGAACTAAGTTTTGAGAAAAATAACATAAAGTTCTCTTTTTTTGATTTCTTCTTTCTTCTGCACTCCAGTTGAATTCCTTGGGAAAGAGTACTTTGTTACTCAGGAAGGTACAAATTTCACTTTAATAGTTATTCTGAAAAAACCTTCACATTACACTGTAAGTGATGATAGAAAGTGTAGCATACTTTGAGTATCTCTGAAGAAATGTGCCAACTTAACAGTCCAGTGTGCTGACTGGCACACCAGGCTGATACATTTATCAGCTGATCATACCCTACTGTTTGGTTTACCTGGCTATTAATAGCTACAGCTATTCAGATGATACCGAAAACTAGAGGTTTACTGCAAGTCATCATTCACGAAAGATACTTTTCAGTCAAAACAAGCTTGAAGTATTACCTTCCTCTGCCATGTGAAAGTAACGTAGCGCCTGTAAAAGACAAAGTTGTCTTCCTTAAAATGGAGAATAAACCAAATACAAACTAAAGCCTTACGTGCATGCTTAAAATAGCTGGATAAGGACTTCCTGTCTGTGATCTTATTTTTATTAATTCAACATGCTGTGATGCTTCTTATTCAATGTACAATCAGATTTGACATTATTTCAGCAGAACTAGTACTTATCCAAAATATCCCCCTACCAATTCTTCCATTAAGTACAGTACCACCTGTTTGTCCCCAGCAAACCAGATTGTGTATTTTCATTTCAACTTGTCAAGATAATTTCGCATTTTATTTGTACCATCCAGCACATCTGCAGTTTTCCCCACATGCTTCTCATGTATAAATTTAACAGATGAAATGAATCTTATGATTTAGGACATTAATGTTGACAAATGCTTTAGAGAGAGAACTAACTCCCACAGAGCACTAGTTAGCACCCTCTTACATGAGGATAAACATTTCTGAAATCCACATATTTTTCAATCAGTTTCCCATCCCGCACATACGAAATTTCAGTCCAACTCTACCTCTTCCTAATGGTACTAGTTGGGGGGAAAACACTCTCAGAGAACGTAAAAGTATGGATGTATATACAAAACATATTTTGTACTGAAACTGCAGAAATCCTTCCAGTACAAGTTTGCTTCTTCAGCCACTTTAAGAGCTACAGAACTTGATGCTGGGACTGGCATCATTTTGCAGTATTTGAAATCCTGGTTGATGCTTTGTATTCTTCTGAGAGTGATTTTCAGCAAAACTTACAAGCTTGACTTTTCATTAAAAAGTTTTATTTCTTTTTCAATCAGACCTTAAATTACTTTCTGTGTAACAGCAAGCAGTCTTCTACGATTACTTCCTAGTGACTCCTGCCCCCCCACCATAAAAGAAAAAAACAGTTATTAGTTGATCTAAACAACCAGAGATTGTAACAGCTGCAGCAAACTTTTCTATTACCAATTTAATTTTCAAGTTTCTATATATGTACAGGTGTTTAAATAAGCTGCACGCTGTTTTAGACACCCTAGAAGATAAATACCTGGACAGTATGTTTTAGGGCGTATGACAGCAGGAATTTTCATAGCAAAGAGTGAAAAAATTATTTTCAACTTAAAAAACCCCACCCTTTGTGGCCAAGGAATGAGAGGGTATTTGCTCATGTTAAGTAACAAAGCAACCTGTTGCTTTTTATCATTTAAAGGGACAAATTCTAAATAGTCCTATCAAATAAATACATGGTATAACAGCACCATATAAACCATCAGCACTGCACTAGTACAGACAGTTATCTGCAACAGATCACAACAGTAAATACAAACTAAGTTACATATAGCTTGTTATTTTCTGCTGCATAATCTACATGGAATAATTTTCACTATTCTGTGTGTGCTACAGCTGAAAAAAATTAAAAGGTTTTTAAGTTTTTAGTTATCCCTCAGCCTCCTGTTGTATTCTTATTTTATTATTGATAGTTGTAAACTCCCAAGTCCATGCTTATTCCATAAGCAGAGGTCAGCTTTGACAGGAAAATAAGTAAAAGTATATCAACAGCTTTGTGGGGAAAATAATAATCTATGAAACATTTTCCTACTGTACCTCTTGAAACGTGGAAGTTGGTGGTGTGGCAAACAGCGTTGCAGCAATTTTTCTTTGGTACCATGGCATTTCAGCAAAGGAGTAACACCTGAAGCAAAAAGAAACATTTATATCTACCCTTCCCATATTTCTCTTGTTTTTGAGAAATATTTTCATAATTGTTGTTGAAAACTGGATGTCATAAATGTTGTTTTCAAGAGTCAAAACTCCAGACACACTGCAAGTTCTAAAACCATGTTTTTATATCTGTACAAGAAAATAGCAGGATGTCCAAAACTGCTACTAAAGAAGTTTTGATGTGTCTTTTACTGGGAACTAATTACATTAGCTAAAACTGGAGACATTTACTAAGCATGAGACAGCTTTTGAGCTTGAATGATTTTAATGTGTGTATTTTGTTCTAATATATTTGTAAAAATGGCACAACTGAGTAATGTCATTGCCTTACCTCAACACTACTTTGCTTTTTTCAATTATTAATATAAAGCAGATCTGCAGTACATTCCTGAAAGACTCTGATCTATAAGAATGAAAATAAATCCAAGAATCAAACCACTGTGTTCTAGGCTAGGTCATGCTACACTGTTTTCCTATCTACTAAATAACACAGGTAATCAATCAGTCACCTTTTTATTGGTGAAAACATTTGTGAAGCATTTCAAGTCCACAGAACATTCCAGGTCCATTAAACAACGCTTAAACATTCAGTTTAGTAGCCTCCCACAATGAGTTTACAATTACACTATGTAAAATAGAGTACTCTAGATGAGGTGAAAAATTAATAAATATTCAAGAATTGGCTGATACCAAATGCCAGTTTCAGATGAAGATGCTCTGGGATTCAGTAATAAGTATATTTAAACATACAACATGGAATATTTTAGAGCCAAAAGCAGCAATAATTTCACATTTCTTATCATGTTTTCTAATTTTCCTTGAGAACAGTGTCTTCAGTACTTTCCAGAACAAGCTTCCTATCTCAAAATGGACCTTGAGGCTCAGTCAGTTGGTAGCATATGCTTTTGTTTAGATATTTGGACTATTGCAATTGTTACATCATATGGGAATGAGTGGTGGATGCTGAAAAACCAAAGTAAGTTTGTAAACTAATAAAAAACTCTGGAGCAGCAGATTGTAGTTTTCTCTGATTTTCAAGAGTCCAAAAAATCCATACAGAAAGTAACTGTGGTTTTTAGTATTTTTTTTAAACTGCAAATATATTGGCTTTCTTTATTTTCAATCTCACAGCAGAGATTTCCTGTAAAACAGTGTAACAGCTTTGGTCTTTTTGAAACAAATAATCAAAAGCACTGTCTGGAGTCTCTCACCAACACATAAAAAATACTGCTTTCCATCACACCACTTCCACAGAATGCTCTGGTTTGTATGGAAAGTTGTATTTCCAGTCCCTTTGCCTGCTATGTAACAGTAATTTTAAGTACCAATTTCACTGAGCAGTAAATTAAATTTCAAAGATTTTTTGTTAATATATATGAATTTATAAATCCATTTATTAATATAACTTTGAAAATACCGTATCATGACAGATAACAAGAGAAGTATTTTAGGAATACATCTCACTTAAATAGTTTTTCACAGACTGTATTAAGTTGCAGTCATCCCTGGAATTCAACAGAAATTCAGTGTTGAGTTGACTCCATTCACACCAGTAAACCAAAATGAGCAGCACTCAGAATTGCTGATGCCTGCTATGGATTCTATGAAGCAAACTTAATGTCTGCAAATCGAGTGTTTAATAGTTCCATACAAATAAATTAAATGAACAATTATTTTTCATCTTTTTGAACTGCTTAACAGCCAGACTTTTTCAGGGCATGATGTTCCATACCTGTTTAATAGGTTTTCATGTTTGCATTAATTACAAGTCACTAAATTATTACAAGCAGTTCTGCAATTCATGTAAGATATTTTATATTCTGGCATTTTTCTTTGCTAAATGCTAAATTTTGTTTGAAAATATGCCTTACCAAATCCCTATAAGATGAATTGTTGTAGCATCTTTTGGATTTAGTTCAATGGCTCTCTGTTGAGGGGAGAAAAAAACAACACAAGATATAAGAAGTTGTTCTGACATATGTGGATTAAAATACATATAAAAAGTAGACTTCTTATCCTGCTGTTAATTAAACCAGCCTCATCAGGTAAAGAATTTCAAGGCAATATATTTTTTATTCAGTACATAACTACATCAGCTCACCTCCAAAAAACTGACAACACTGACAGATTCTAAGCACTTCTGCTTAGTAGGTCATTAAAAGTTGCATATGAGACTTGGTGTGTTCAGATTTTGATATAATCTCTGGTGATATAAAATTAGTAGTCCCTTATCTTTTTCAGTATTTGTCCTTTGCCACTACATAATCCACAATTCAAAGGATGGCCACAGAGCCATTTCTCAATATCACTGTTATATTTTATCTAGTCCTAAGAGGTGTCTGAAGTACTTCAGCTATTTCAAGACTCTCTTCTAAAGGGATTTAGTTTACTGCAGGAGATAATTTGTACTCCTTGTTTCCCTAGCATTTCTGGGGCATATGTCACAAGAACCCCAAAAAACAAAGTGTCACTACAGATATAAACAGAAGTACGCTTTCAATATTTTGCCAAAAATTATAGTTACCAGCTGTCACACAATCTATACACTGGACACACTGATGCTGTCATATGCAAAAAACTGTTTGCATTACCTGAAAATGCTCCTTGATAACAATAGCATTTCCAATTTTAGTCTTGATTCCTTCATAGTCTCCAACATCACTGAGGCAAATTCCATACCACTGTAATTCAAACAACAAAAATAAAACATTTAATACAGCACTATAGCTATTGATAGTACATTTTTAAAAACCTGCAACCAGAAGGGCTTCCACTACCACAAATGACAAACGAGCAAGAAGTATTTGTTGTGAACAGCTGAGGCAGCATCAGTGTGACCTGCTGGTCTGCATGTGTAAGGAAATAAATGTCCTCTTCTGATCCTAGATGTCAACACAAGTGACTATACTTTGCCTGTGAGAGAAGCAGCACCAAAAAAAAGCAGAACGAAGTCAGGGCCTGAAGTACTTCTAGTGAAGCCCTACAGAATACAGAAATAGCATGCTGAATGTGGGGCATGTACAACATTTTTAAGGCTACATCAGAGGAGGAGCTGATTACATCTGCTGTAATAAACCTCATCAGTCACACCTCTCTCCATGGTCCTGCATACATTTAACCAGTTTCTGTTTCCTGTATAGAGGAAATTTAGCTGGACAAGTCTGAACTCAGATCTTCCAAAAAAGTTAGGGAGAATCAGAAGTCTCATTCATTCTCAACTGAAAAGTTAAATTATGCTGAAGTTTGCTAACGCAGCACAGTGACATTTCCAGTTTCTACTAGCAGAAATCAACAAACAAGATTTCAGTTATTTTGCATGGCTCACCTTGTGCGCTGCAGAATTTGACTCATTTTTTTCAAGAGCCTTTTTTGCATACTCAAAGGAGTCATAAGTCAGTTGTTTCTTCTCCTCTGCAGAAGTACTACTAAGCTGAGCTAGATCTCGTGATGCCCGTGCCAGCCGCCACAACAACTCTGCATCATCACTGGTTAGGAAGAGAAACACTAACATTTTAAAGCAATAATGGAAACAAAGCCAGCAAAAGTCTTAAACCAGTCTTTCAAAATGTATCTCAAGTGGGTGATGAGACAACATTGTATCGTCTGTCCTATTATGCTATATACAACCCCAAGATTACAAATAGAAAAGGAAAGCCCACCATTACAGACTGTCTGACAGTACTTCTGGTCTGCAAAGCAAATAGGTCTGTAGGAAAGGTCTTTGTTTTCGCAAAAAAAACCCAAACAAAGATAAAAAAAATAATGGTACCACTCAACACACCGGAAGGAAAAGAGGACTACTCTGTTCTTAGCTAGATGGTATTTTTTCCAACATTCCACTGATTTGTATTGATGTGTACTCGGAATATTTAAAACACTATCAATCTTTTTCCTATAATTATACTTAAATAATTAAATTCTTCCTAGAACAACAGTGAAAAAACACAGATTAGCCACACCACCAGCACAAAAAGCTTTATGTTTATGTATTTATATCACTTTATCAAATGGTATATGGTAAGTTATAGCCAAAGATAAAGGATCTAAAATTTGATTTTGTTCACATTGTTATGAAACACTACTTGCACTTTTAGAGCACAACCATTTTAATTTTGGCTTTCCATTTTAATAGAGACTTAAATTTAGAGTCTTTCAGAGGTCTTGTCTGTGTGGCTATAAACCTCCAGCCTCAGAACACTGAAGTCAAAACTACCAGAAACTAAAAATATTTAAAAGCATATAAGAATTATTGCTAAACTCAGAGTATCAGTTTTCTGTTCTTATCTGGAGTAACAGTGAGTCACTGCTCTCGCAGCACAGCAGTCCTGCTCTATTCAACAGAGTAACATGGACCTAGAAGGCTCATTTTTCAGTCACAAAAATCTTAAGTACTGCTACTGGAATCATTACTCCTCAGAGAATAGTTAGTGTTGTTATACACCTAGTAACAAGCTTACATCTCACTTATGATATGGCTGGGAACTTCATTTAATTTCACAGGTTTTACACTTGCACCCCTGGCAAGAACAAGGGAGGAAAAAAGAAATAAGGGGGAAAAAAAACAAACCCAGGATCTGCAAACTATTGAAAAGAACCAAAATGTTTTTGGAGCGAGATGTTTTGTCTCCTCCAAGGGAATGGACTCTTAAGTTTGCAATCCCTTTTCTGCTTTTTCTTTAAACGGCTTATCCCAGTTCACTTAATGTTTTGTGCACATAAGACATAACTACATGAGCAAGGGCCTTTTTTTGTTCAGAGTCAAATCCTAACATGAGACAAATGAAAACAAAAAGAATAGCTGGTCAGCAGTGAAAAAGAAATGAAACAGTGACTCAAATTTTCAACACCTGAATTTTAGGTACCTTGATCCTCTACTAATACATAGCCACATTATGAGTTTTTGCAGTAATTTTAAAATTATTTAAAATTCGAGTAACAAAGCAAACAAGCAAAAACCTCTCCTTTGCAGGACTGAAAAACTTAAGAGTTAACTTTCATCTTCTACAGCTACCAGTTCTTTCTTTATTCATTTTTCCAGTAGGAGGGAAAAGATTAGGAATCCTTTCCTACTTAAATAAGGGTGAAAGCAAGGTTCTCCAGCATACTCCAGTGAGAATATTTGTTGAAAAACTGATACAGAAGAGCACTGAAAAGTCACCGTAATGTCTCAATGCAACGAAGTACCTGTTTTTATGCTGAACCAGCAACCGATACAGTTTTTCAGTTTCTCCACTCCCGTACAGGTAGTCTGCTTGTTCTAACACTTCTTCCACTTAAGAAGAAATTAAAATTGGGGAAACAGAAGAACAAATTACAGGTAATTAGCACATTATAGCATAAACAAAATATTTTAGAGCAAGATGACCTAGCTGAAAATGATATAGCTCTTTTTTAGGCCATCATTCCAAACAACTTACAGGTACAGCAGGATTGAATAAGCAACATGTACAATGCTCAACTAGGCTGAGAATCAGTGCCTCTCTAATGCAACTACAACGGCTTTCAGCAAGACAGCTTGGATGCTTAACAAAACATAAGCTCTAACCTCCTTCATAAAAATTAATTGTGTTTATAAGCTTTCCTTTTTGACGTTACCTAGTAAATAGGGTAGACACATTTAGCGGCAGCAGAGTTTTCCTTAATGGAAGAAGGAAAACATTAAAGGTTATTAAACACAAAAGCCTGCTCTTCAGTTTAAAAAGATCCTACACTACAAATCTAGATAATTTTTAACCTCGCTGTCTTATCTTTCAAAGATAAGCTAACGGTCTACCTGGACTTTAGATCTTAGTGTTTAAAATGAGCTTCATGGTACATCTTCAGTATTATCTTCAGTAAACTGTTATGTTTGCTTGTTGACCTGAACACTACTAACATATCTAATGACTAAATGCTCAAAACTCTGAACACATTTCCCACGAGGTGTTTTTAAGCAAATTATTATACTTTTATTGCTTTGGAGTATTTTTCAGGTATTTCTATTTTACCCTTATTTTCACCTTATCTATTACTTGTTTTGCAAAGAAAGCCCATAACCATTGCTTTTCTTGGCAATGTAAATGCCAGATTCAAGAGGGAGCACTGAAAAGATCAGAGGTGGCTACACAGTGTTATGTTCCTCATGAGAAATGAGGAATTCCTTATTCCTTGTTATTACTATTTCTTATTTGTGTACCAAGTGGCTATCTCAAATCTATTCACTGACACTTCTTCTGTTATAGAAAATGAGACAGTTCTTTATTTGCTCAAAAATTGTCTGAATTTTTATTTCTATAAGCATCAGCACAGTATGAATATAGCCAGTCAGGCTCATTCTCTATTCAGCTAAGCTTACTCTCAAAATCCTTAATTTACATGTGATAGACAAGTTCTAAGTCTGCAACAATATCCTCTTTTAAGATATTGTTACTGTTCTTCCAGCAGTGAAACTATCCTTATTCAAATTTGAAAAGGATATTTTATCACTTGTTATATTATTTTCTGGTAGGGAAAGCAGGGTTTTGAAGTGTCACAAAAATACAAGGCATTTCTCAACTCTCTTTGAGATGCAATCTCAGTATTGCTCAACTAGATAAAATGGGAATCACACTTTTTTCATACTGAAAATCTAAACTAACTAAAATTTCTAGAAATCAAATAAGCTTTGGTCTGTGTTCCTAAGTGAACTTTTCAGTATGATTTATTTAAAGCTTGGGGAGCAAGTTAGGTGTCATACACCTGTACATGTGTTCTATCCCTGTCAGGACGAGCTACTAGATCTCCTTTCAGTGACAGCTGAAAGAATCACTTGTTAAACTGCTACAAGGCTACCCATAAACGATTCAAAAGCATCCTGCCATTAAATCACACTGCATGCAGTCTTATTGGAGAAAATCAAAAAGCATTACACCATTTTCCTCTATAATTCTTGCACTAAAAATTTTAACTTTCACATGAGAATATCCTACATACTTCAAAATTTGAAAATATTACCTTTGAAGCTTGCATGAACCTCAGCAAAGCCAAAAATCAGCTTATGAGTTTCGTAAGCCAAAAAGGACCCTGTTGAAAGCACAAGCCCCCTTTGAAGGCTTTTTCTAAGCACCTGTGTGGGATCATAAGATAGATATTAACATTATCGTTCTCCCAAATCTTCATTCGCGAAGCCTAGCCATGATGACGTTCTGAGTTTAAAATTTTTTTTTGTCTGTAGCACCGGTTATATTTCAGATTTTGAGCAAAGAAAAAACTTTTAAATGTTAAAAAACCTTCATAAGACAAAACAGTTCATCAAGAGGGCATTTTAAGCGTATTCAACAGAAGCTCATGATTACGCTTTAAAACGACCACAGCGCTAGACTGAAAATAAACCATAGATACGGAGCAAATACAAGATAAGAAGCAGAAAAAGCGCACTAGTGTTCTTCAAACGAGCAGAGGGCTCCCAGCTTTTGCAAAACGAAACCAGCCCTTCGCTGCGCCCCGCGATGCCGGAGCCTCCCCACTGCCGCCTCCTCTCGCCTCCCCGCCCGCGGCGGAGCGGCCCCGCGGGGGCGAGCGGCGGCACAGGATCGATCAGGTTGGAAAAGGCCTCTGAGATCATCGAGTCCAACCCATGACCGAACACCACCATGTCAACGGGACCACGGCACGAAGTGCCGCGTCCAGTCTTTTCTTAAACACCCCCAGGGGCGGTGACTCCACCGCCTTCATGGCAGCCCGTTCCAAGAAGCCCCTGGGAGCGGTCGCGCCCCCCCCACCCCGAGGGGCACCCCGGCTACCTCGCTCCACGTCCGGCCCCGGCCCCACGGGCCGCCCGTCGCCTCCCGTCGGAGCCGCAGCCCCAGGCCGGCAGGACCGCGGCGGAAGGGCCGCGCCAGCACCGCCATGAGCGTCGCCATCGCCGCCGCCAGCACCGCCCCCCGCCTCCGGAGGAGCCGCTCCGCCCCGCGGCCCTGCCTAGGCGCGGGGGCACACAAGGGCAGGGGCCGCCCGGCCCGCCGGCCCGCCCGCTGTGCCGAGCACCGGGCATTGCACGGCCCCGAGCGGGAGCCACACCGGGCCTCGACCCGCCCGCCCGGGACGCGGGGCGGGCGGGAGGGGCGGGGGGCTCTGCGCCTGCGCCCCGGTGTGGGGCGGGCGTGTCCGGCTGGAGCGGGCGGGGCCGCCGCGGGCTCGGGACTGGGGGCTCGGGGTGCGGAAGCGCCGCCGCTGCAGGTGAGGAGGGGCCGGCTTCGGCCCACGTCCCCTGGCTGTGTGCCGGCCCATTTGCAGCGGGGTTTGCGCTCTCGGCCCACCAGCCTTGTCCAGTGAGAGCCGTGCGGCGCTGGGGCTGGGGCTGCGGGGCAGGGCAGGGCTGCAGGCGCCTGCGGCCGTTTCCTCTCGTGGAACGTGCCCCAGGTGCGGCTCTGCTCCCTGCGCCGGGACACGGGCGCGCTGCCCGGTGCTGCTGCGGGGCTCAGGGCATCGCCCTTAACCCGCCGTCCCGCAGGTAGCGAAAGTCGGCGAAGCTGAACTTCTAGGCCGGAAGGTTTGAGTCCGCAGTGCCGATCTCTGTGGCGCTATAAGCGCCGCTCTGAAAAGCACCCTCACCTCTTAGTGAGGAGTCTGTTGAGATGCAGCATCGTTCCTGAAAACCACATGGTGTTCTTCCTGAGCTGCTGTTTGAGTGGGTGGTTGTTTTCTTGCTTCATTGCAATTGCATAATATATATAAGACAAGCCTTAGATGACGTTCATGTTGTCATAACTTGCTCTTCCACTAGGGGAAAATGAAAATGTGAAACCTCTTCACTTTTGCTTCCGTACTCCTGTCTTCAAAGTCCATTAAGTATCTTCAAGGTAATATGCATTGCCCTGCCTCCAAAACATTTGTTTCCTTGGGAGTTTTGTTTCTGTGGTGCTGCATAAAGTTTGTTTAGTAGAAGTAGAGTCAAACTTAATCCCAGATTTTTCTTTTTTGAGTTGAAGCTTTAAATTTTAACTTTGTAGATGTATAATCACAGAGGTAAGATGTTTCAAAGGGATGCAGAACACCAACAAGAATTAGAAGAAATAGTGAGCAAGAAAGATATACGAGGAGAAAGAGAAAGGGGTCTTTCTGTTTTTCTGTTGTGGTGCTAGAAAGAATACAGTATTTTTGCAACAAGTATGTTTGTGTTAAATATCTCAAAATTAATAGATACAGATTCATTATAGATGACTTTGGGACTAATTTTTTGTTTTGCTGAAAACAAAAGTCCGTTTCTGGTAAGCTGAATAACTAATTTTGTTAAATGTCATCTACCAGAATGCCAAGGTAGCAGTGCGGTATTGCAGTGTTTGTACAGCCTTCTGTTATGCCCAGGACATTAACATTTCTTCAGAATTGAAGGCAGAGGGAAGCCACAGTAGCTCTTTAGTCCAAACAACGCCAAAAACTAAAATCTCAACTCCACAGATACCTGAGATGGAGTTTAATTTTTTTTTTAATCTTATTTGATTTAGGAACAGGTGCTGTCATTACCATGGTTTCCTAGAGGAAATACCTTTAGGGGCAAAGTGAAGGAGGAAGATACATTTTTTCCCTTCCTGTTTATTTTCCTGTGAAAGCCAGGATCCTATTGCAACATAAATAATACATGATTGTGTTAGTATTTATAGATACTAGTTTTGTTAAACCCAACAAAATTGCTTCTGTTCTTAGATCAGTTAGGCAAAGATTAATAATATCCCCTTCTAATATCACGTTTGAAATTGTGGTGTGGCTTGTGCAAACAAGTAGGAAGTGGAATTACAGTGCTCTTTATTGTTTTATAACTTTAAAGGTCTTTTCCATCAATTCTGTAATTCTGTTTGATTTCTGTGGTTTATCTTTAGTTGAGATGCTGTTGCTCAGGCATGTGAAAAAGGGCATTGTTAAGTGTTTGAAGGATCTCTGAATATAGGAATTTTGGGACTGGGTTCTGGATCCAACCTTCTGTTTAAGAAATAGTCTTTAGTTGTTTGGATCACTTGCTTAATACTTTCTACTGTGGTTGAAAGAAGACTTTATCCTGTAGATCCATTCCACCCCGGAGGTGGAATAAAATGCACATGTTCACTCAGTGCTTTATACAAGGCACAGCTGAATTAGTTCTAGTCATGGCAATTTGGTTCTGATGCTGCCCATATCCAGAGGGGTTGTTCCAAAGTCCTCATGGTAGGTGATTAGCATATGTGCAATCATCTGATCGTTCCAGGATTTAGCATGATTGCTGTGTGCCTGTGTTCAGAGCCACTGCCTATGGGTATACAGAGCATGTGTGATGCCTGCCAGGCACAGGGAATGCTGACTGCAAGTAGCTGCTGTGATACAGAATTGAAGACAGCTGACTGGAGAGCTCTTGGTTTGCATATAGGAAGGTTTGAAATACATCTGGGCTATAAAAAAGTATAATTTTGTGAGTGTGTGTTTCAAGATGTTGTTTATAGCAAGATAAATAATATGCTGGACCATTGTAGGATACTGTTTTTATGGATTTTTCTTAGGCATCCTTTAGCAGTATAAGAAAGCTTAGGTTTCTTAGAGCATAAACCACATTGGGAGCCACTGAATTTGATCTACTTACTCTAAACAACTGTCACCTTATTGGAAAAAAACATATTAAATGAATAGGACAAAACCTGTAATCTGATATTTGTTTTTAAAATCTTAAAGGGCTTTTCTTGCTGGACTTTTTAAACGTCCAATATATACGGTTCTGTGACAAAGACTCTGAGTTTCCCATAAGTAATCTTTTCAATGCTGCTGTCATGGAGACATAAAACTGTTAGACAGGTTATTTATTTTAGGAGGAACTGTAGTTCCTAAAACTCTATGCATTCAACCCTCTTACTTTGATTGATATATGGGAATAACAATTCTTAGTTTTATTTTCCTTTCACTTCACATTTTAGTGCTCCTGTTGGTTGAAGTTTTAGCCTTTTGCTGAGAGGCCCAGAGGCAGACCTCTGAGGTAAGTTACCATTTTTAAGAACTGGTATTTGTAACAGTGAAGTGTCACAACATGCCTAAAAAACAATGTGTGAGAAGGAGTAGTCTGAAACGTGTGGTCACCTGCATCTTAATATATAAAACACAACAAGTTTTAGTGAGATAAAAGTTTTTCTTTCTTCTGGGTAATGTTAATTATGTATTCAGTCAGTCGGTGACTCTACACAGAGAAATTGCAATGAAGAATACATGATTTAAGATGCTATTCACATCGCATAGTCGATAGATTGTTTTCTATGGTGTTAAGATACTCTGATAAAGCATAGAACATATATGGAGGAAATACATGTTGCCCTGGTTGGCTGCTGTATGCTTAAAATAACTAAATTTTGAAGTCAGGAGATCTATCTGTCTTAATTTTCTTGCTAAAGGCTCAATACTACCTTTTATAGTTTAGCTCACTTGAATCAAAATGTTACCTAAGGTTCTTGTGATACTTTTGTGCGGGGAAGATGCTGGGAAGATCCCTCAGCATTAAAGATGTGCCTAAAGGGTGAACACGCATATACAGGAATTAAAAAAAAATCAACAGAAGGATATTTAGAAATGACTGTTTCTAAGTCATTTTGTGAAGAGGTGTCCTAGAAGTCAAATTAGTATTTTCTGAGTAGTGGGATTTCTTAAAAATAGAATTCTAAACATGTTGTTTGGCAATGTAACTTAATGATAGATTTTTATATATAGGAAAGTCTGCAAATAGTTGTCCGACTTGTTATACCACTGTGCTACCAATGCAGTAGATAAATATTTGCACTGCCTGAGTATCATGAGGCTTATAAAAAGTAGATGATTCATTTCTCATAGAGAAAACTGTATCTCCTTCTCACGCATTCATATACCTCAGATTTCTCAGATATTAGCTCTTATTTTTGTTTGGCATAATCCCCAGTAAATTAGTTGTGTGGTCATTAGGGTTTTGTCAGCATAATCTCCCTTGTTCAGTTCAGAATGCTTTAATTCCTTCATGCATAGTAAATAGTGAATATGAAAATTATAGAACCATATAGGTTGGAAAAGTCCTTCTAGATCATCGAGTCCAACCTTTGACTGAAAACCACATTGTCAACTAGACCATGGCACTAAGTTCTACATCCAGTCGTTTCTTAAACATTTCCAGGGATGGTGGCACCACCACCTCCCTAGGCAGTCCATTCTAATTCTTACCAACTGTTTCTATGAAGAAATTCTGTCTGATATCCAGCCTGAACCTCTTCTGGGACAACTTGAGACCATGTCCTCTTGTCCTGTTGCTTGTTGCCTGGGAGAAACCAACCCCCACTTGGCTACAACCTCCTTTCAGGTGGTTGTAGAGAGTGATAAGGTCTCCCTGACCATCCTTTTCTCCAGGCTAAACAACCCCAGCTCCCTCATCCACTCCTCATAGGAATTACTTTCTAGACCCTTCAGCAGCTTTGCTGCCTTTCTCTGGACTCACTCCAGCACTTCAATGTCTTTCTTGTAGTGAGGAGTCCAGGTCTGGACATTTGAGGTGCGGCCTCACCAGTGTCAAGTACAGGGGGACCATCACTGCCCTGGTTCTGCTGGCCACACTATTCCTGATAGAGGCCAGGATGCCACTTGCCTTCTTGGCCACCTGGGCACACTGCTGGCTCATGTTCAGCTGCTGTTGACCAGCACCCCCAGGTCCCTTTCGATGGGCAGCTTTCCAGTCACTCTTTCCCAAGCCTGTAGCACTACAGGGATTGTTGTGACCCACATGCAGGACCTGGCACTTCACGTTATCACTTCATATCATTGGCCTTGGCCCATTGATCCGGCCTGTCCAGATCCCTCTACAGAGCCTTCCTACCCTCCAAGATAGATATAGCTGTCACTCTAGAAGTAGATAAAAGATGCAGCTTGCACTCCAGGTTTTGTGTGATTCTTCAAATACAAAATTACG